ACACTGGAATGCCTATTTTAGAACTATTTAAATTTAATAAGAAATTTGACATGCTTATGCAAATATACGAAACAATACGATTTCAAAGCGCTTAAAGCTTCTACATTCCAGAATAAAGAAGGATTTAAATAAGTGTTAAATGGTCGAAAGACTTTTTAAATTCTAATTTATGTAAACGGCATTTAAAGTTTGCATTGCTTTTTATTGTGTTCACACCAACTATCCTTATGTAGTTTAGGGAAAAAAAGGTAACTGGACATTTTCCGTAAACAAGAGTATTTACATTTTAATAGAAAACTGACGGGTTTTTTTTACAAACAGAACAAAGTACGTAATCAAAGCCCAAAATACTTCATGTGCATAACACGCGGGGTCAAATAACCATTTCCTTATACATGTATGTATATCAAAATGTAACAAAACGTAGAATTAAAGGTATTCTTTTTACTATAACATATGTAAATTGTGAGATGCAGGCGTTCGTTCAGATATATTCCCACGAAAGTATTTGTAGGGTAATTTTTTCCAATGAAAGTATAGCGTATTTGGTACATGTGGAAAGCAAAGGCGTATATAGGGCTTTGATGGAAAGTAGAGACATCCAATCTTACTAGAAACTACTGAATTCTCTGAAAAACACACATAGCAGCCCATAGGTAAAACATTGAAGGGTGTCACTAACTTTAGTCTGTCCGCTCGAGTGACGTTACAAGCGCATATGATGATCTAATGGCTAACGGTTGTGAGAACATTGAGAGATGTAAATATCTTATAGACTATCTGATTAAACAGCGGAAAAAGAAGTTGGCAGGGCACAATCCAAGAATTTACTTATGGTAAATATACAACGACTAACGACAGATACAAGTTAAAATGGATTCTACCTCAATCAAGACAGTCATGTGACAAATATGGTTCCTTAAAATTGATTATTGCGACATTGGGCTGTTTGCTTGCGATTAAAATGCGGAAAAGCAAACTTTTGATAGATAAATTAGTTAGTAGAAAATATATCATTAAATCACACAGTTTAAACGCGGGAAGCCATCTTTAACGACGTTGACGCAATCAATCAGCTTGACAGGAAATCAACATAAAGCAATGGGGCTTCGGATTGGTCGATTTAGATCATTTTTTCGACCGTTATGGTTTTTGGTTAGTCCGATTTTTATTGTTTATATTCTTAAAAGCTATAATAGTGTGCCTTTAAGTCATAAATTTATGTAAATTCCCATTTCTCGTTACACGGTCGATTAGATAGTTAAATTCACCGCCTTGCAGCTTGCTACATAGATAGTAATTAAACCCAGTCTTGCAGCCAATTTAATACCCCTTTTTTAAAAAAGATATATAATATTTCAGGTTGACAGTATCTCTTATTCGGTTAGATAATTACCACGACTCAATAGTGATAAAATTAACAGCAGATGATGGTGCATAAAGGTGCATGCTCTGTGCAGAGAAACGTGAAACCGTCAAGAAAAAAGGCTGCACAGACCGAAAGATACAATTTCAATAATTTGCTTTCATGAAGGGCTCTTTAGCAGTGGGGAAAAAGTCAGAGCACCTGAAGAAAAACCGCAATGTGCGTCGCCATAAATTACAGACACACATTTATTTATGAGATACATAAAAAGTATATAAGTTAAAACGTATAATAAGATGAAAAGATATACACATAAAAATATAATATAAACATAAAAAGATAAAAATATAATATAAACATAAAAATATGATGTACAGATAATATTTATTATGGATTAAAGTCGTTAAAAGCTGATAAAAATAAACGGGTTTTTTTTTAAAGCGATTTAAAAGAGATACAGTATCACTATCTAATGTAAGCTGAAAGCATATTATTTATAAACAAGAGCATCGCTAACGCAGCAATATACGTCCACATTCCTGTTTTGTTTGATATGGTCCAGTTTGCATTGAGGGTCTGTGAAATAAAACTGGGTTGTAGGACTGCTATCAGTTTAACGTTTCGTTCACATTAACAGAACACAATTTTTATTTTAAAACAATCGATGTCTTTATTCTAAAAGCATGACGTTTAGAATAGGTATCCCCATTTCAAAAGGATCGGTTAAGAATTGCGGCCTGTAGGCAAAACACAAGACACACAAACATTAGGCGTGACTCTGTCCCAAGGGGTTGAGCATGCACCAAAAATAATAATAGAGGCCAGCCTTAGGATTAAGGAATAAGTGTAAAAACGTAGCCTTAGGCTATAAGGAATAAGTCTAAAAAAAATTTCAAGATGATCGATTAAGAAATGCGGTCTGCAAGTGACACACAGACATAAAAAAAGAAAATGGGCGTAGCTCTGCCCCTGGGGGTTGGGTATTCACCACAACTAATAGGGATGTTCCTTAGGATAGAAGGAATATGTATGCTAAGTTTCAAGGTGATACGATAAGAAATGCGATCTGTAGATGACAAACAAATAAATAAATATAAGGGATGGGCGTGGCTCTACCCCTGGTGGTCGGGCATGCACCAAAAACAATAGGGATCATACTTAGGGTATAAGCAATTCATATGAAAAATTTTCAAGACGATTGATTAAGAATTGTGGCCTGTAGGTGACACACAGACATAAAAAGAAAAGAAAATGGGCGTGGCTCTGCCCCTGGGGGTAAAAAAACAATAGGGGTCATCGTTAGGGTATAAGCAATTCATATGAAAAAATTTCAAGACAATTGATTAAGAATTGTGGTCTGTAGGCGACACACACACATAGAAAAAGAAAATGGGCGTGGCTTTGCCCCTGGGGGGTGGGCATGCACCCAAAACGATAGGGATGTTCCTGAGGGTACAAAGAATAAGTATGCAAAGTTTCAAGATGATACGTTAAGAAATGCGGCCTGTAGACGACAAACAAACAAATACAAAAATGGGCGTGGCTCTGCCCCGGGGAGGCGAGCATGCACTAAAAACAATAGGGATCATCCTTAGGGTATAAGGAATAAATATGTAAAGTTGATACGTTAAGAAATGCGGTCTGTAGATGACAAACAAATAAATAAATATAAGGAATGGGCGTGGCTCTGCCCCTGGGGGTCGGGCATGCACCAAAAACAATAGGGATCTTCCTTGGGGTATAAGGAATAAGTATACCAAGTTTGAAGAAAATCCAGTAAGAATTGCGCCCTGTAGGCGACACAAAGACACACGAAAAGAAAATGGGAAATGGGCGTGGCTCTGCCCCTGGGGGTTGGGCATGTACCCCAAACGATAGGGATGTTCCTTAGGGTACAAAGAATGTGTATGCAAGATTATAAGTTAAGAAATGTGGCCTGTAGACGACAAACAAACAAATACTAGAAATGGGCGTGGCTCTGCCCCTGGGGGTCGGGCATGCACCAAAAACAATAGGGATCTTCCTTGGGGTATAAGGAATAAGTATACCAAGTTTGAAGAAAATCCAGTAAGAATTGCGCCCTGTAGGCGACACAAAGACACACGAAAAGAAAATGGGCGTGGCTCTGCCCCTGGGGGTTGGGCATGCACCCCAAACGATAGGGATGTTCCTTAGGGTACAAAGAATGTGTATGCAAAGTTTCAAGATTATTAGTTAAGAAATGTGGCCTGTAGACGACAAACAAACAAATACTAGAAATGGGCGTGGCTCTGCCCCGGGGGGTCGGGCATGCACCAAAAACAATAGGGATCTTCCTTGGGGTATAAGGAATAAGTATACCAAGTTTGAAGAAAATCCATGAAGAATTGCGCCCTGTAGGCGAACCACAGACACACACACACACATACATACATACACACACACACACACACACACAGACAGGGGCGACGGCATAATACGTTCACATTATGAATGTGGACGTATAAAAAGGGAGAAACGAAATGAAATCAAATGAAATGGGGTTTAGCGCTCTGCTGTTCTGCTCCGACAGAGCTATATGAAGATGGAGAAATGAAATGAAATGAAGAGCTAAATGAAGATGGAGAAATGAAATGAAATGAAATGAAATGAAATGACATTCACATCACCAGCACCATCACATCAAATCAGGCTTAACATCATACTTTTCAGCACCGATTGGGCTAATGATAACGGGCACACGCCACGCAGTTTGCTATGAGGGAAATTTGTCTATATGTGGGTGGTTTGGGGGGGGGGGGGGCTGAATGTTTAGCACGTGTGTGCTGTACCATAAAGTCTGTCATTAAGTCAACAGCCGTGGTTTCGATTCCCCGGTAGTACGTGACAAGGAGTATGGTCGCCTGTCCAACCTCGTGGGTTTTCTCTGGGTCCTCCGGTTTTCTCCCATTGCTAAAGACCCCTACGCGCAAGCGAATTATGGAAATAGAATTGAACCATGTGTTAGTCCCGAAATGACCTAGTTTGTGTCGAGTGGACGTTAAACCCCATTTGTCTCTCTCTCTTTCTCTTGTCCCCATAGCAGCGTTACGCCCGGTTCTTGTATCGAATTTCAACTGTCATCTGAGGTAATGAAGACGGTAGACGGACCATACAAAAGGAGAAAGCTTAAAGAAAAAAAAAAGCGATCATCGTGTGAAGTCACTCGTGATCTGAGATGACAAAACAGTACCCATGATCGTGATCGTGTAGTTAAAGGTGTACAAATTAAAATAAAATGAAATGGGGTTTTAACGTCCTACTGTTCTGCACCGACTGGGAATGAAGACGGGCATACGCCATACAGTCTTGGTAGGCTTAAGCCTAGAGCCTTAAGATCTAGGGGTCCTTCGTCCACAACGTAGTATACTATTTTTGAGTTTTGACACTGGCATAAGTCTTTCTTACACATGCAGTCTTCAACATGTCATAATCCTCGGTTTTATTCAAGTGTGTCTCTCAAACACACATTATCGTCGTTAGGGTGGGGAACGGGGAGGGCCTTACACATGAAATAGTCTAGGGCCGCTCTTCATCTAAACCTGGCGCTGCATGCATTTATAACCCTGTGGGGGGAGGGGGGGTAAATAAAAAAAATAAAATAAAATTATCTCACCTTTGACTGAATATTTTGTTGACATTGTCAAATTCAGAAGCTGATAGCGAGTCTGTCAGAGGAGACCTCAAACCAAACATCTTTCAGATGTAGGCCACATTGGCCGTTACAAACAGATTATACTTTCGCTTTTATAAACAGCCATATCTATTTTTCATTTGTAAAGCCAGGCTCTCCAAACTTTCCAGTAATGATTAGTCGGGATAGCTTCTATCTTCCAGCCCCTGTTACTTTAATCCACTCTTTTAATGAAACTTAACGGAACGAAAGACAAATCCAGATAAACAATGTGGTTAATTAATGGATGCTGATCAAACTAAAAACATCGATTAAAACAGTTAACCGATCGATACTCAATAAACAGGAACTTTGGAAATCGATTTAAAATTCCGGATTCAACAATTACAGTCTGAAATTTATTCCACTTGAAGTCTTAGCATAAATTGACTATTGTTCCTCAGTTTCACAAATATAATTCCTTTGTTTGTTATATGTGTTCGTTATCCCACGTGTTACGTTTATATATATCCATCTATCTATAATCACGTGACATCACACACGTGTAATATTACAACCTACAATAGAGAAAAAAATTCTATAAAAAAATGTCTAAAAAATCAAAGATTTAATTACATGAATAGTTTAAAAGGATATTTAGCTTTAGAAAATATCCAATTTCTAATTTAATAATCTGACAAGATCAACCAGGACATCGTCTTGGATGACTGGTATAGTATACTATTAACGACCGCATTGATAGTGCATTATTTAAGTGCACAGATGTGCCACTTGTCGCCATTGTCCAGGTCAATATCCCCGATCACCCACATTGCTTATCATCACTGGCGGTACTATAAAATAGGATCGCAACACGCCTTGGCAAAATTCTCCCAGCTAAACATTGCTGAATAATTTTTGTAAGTTTGTGTAGTGGCCAATTTCAAACTAAATTGTGTCAATGACATTTATCCATTCATTGATTCGCACATATACTCGTTCATTTAACATATATGTGTTGAATTTCCTAGTGAAAACTCCAAGCAAATATAAACAGTAATTGTGTTCCACAGATTTGTTACCCATGTCGCAGTAATAAACAGTAATTATATTCCATAGATTTGTTACTTGTGTCTCAGTTATAAACAGTAATCATATTCCATAGATTTGTTACCTGTATCTCAGTAATAAACATTAATTGTATTCCATAAATTTGTTACTCGTGTCTCACTATATAAACAGTAATTGTATTACATAAATTTGTTATCCTTGTCGCAGTAATAAACAGTTATTGTATTTAATAGAACTGTGTCATGTGTCCGATTAATACGCATAATTATGACCGGTATATCCTTGATAATGGACCGTTTATAATGTTCACCATTTAAAAAAAATGAAGTTTCTGAGCCAAGATGTCCCTTTACAATGTCAATTTCATTCACAATGTCAAAAATCTAAACATAAAAATTTGTATAGAAAAAACGTTTTACAAAAGGTATGATTTTCTGTGCTAAGTTTTGTGAAATCTTATATCCTAAAAAAGAAGTGAAAATATTTCCGCTAAAAAAGCCTTTTGTATAAAAGGGATATTTGATTTCAGGTGCCCTAGACCAAGAGCAATGTTAAATATTATAGTTTGTTATATCAGATTTCACGTTGATGATCTTCACACACTGTTTACTATTTATTGTAACGCATTGTATAACAATTGAGATACCTCGTCCGGAGCACGTCAGAATATTTGAAATGAAGAGATATACCTTGCTCGGAACACGTTATTAAATAAACTGTACTGTATCTTTTGTTCTGGAATATGCACCAATTATTTTACATTGTCTATAAATGAAATGAAATGAAATGGGGTTTAACGCCCTACTGTTCTGCTCCAACTGGGCTAATGAAGACGGGCATACGCCATACAGCGTGGTATGATGGACATTTTGCCCGGACAGCGGCGCTACATCCTACTCCTATATCGAATCCCAACTGCCAAGGGATCTTTTACGTGTACGCCAATGTGTACACGGGACCTCGTTTTACATGCCATCCGAAAGGCTAGACAATTGTTCTTGTCAGACCGGGCCTGTATCTAGACAGCATTAAGCGGGGGGGGGGGGCATTACCTTTCGGTAGGGGGGGGGGGGGCGAACATTTAGAGGATATTTTCGGAAAGGTCATTCTAACAGACTGTTGTAATCATCATGCTATGTAGTTACCTAGGCGTCTAATACGCATTTTAAAATAAGTATTCAAACCAAAAAAAATCGTGATTTTTAAAATTTATTTAAAACTATTTTAGATTAGTACAAAAAAAATGGTTTATAAAGTAATGAGATACCGTGGGATTAATATGCGCATACTGATAGATTTCCGGCCAGAAGAATTTTTCGGGAATTGTATACCTGTCTGCGGTTGTGCCGGACAAGTGGTCAACATTCCAAGATCATTTGGGCATTTGCTGACCTTGTTACTTCTGTCCATAGATGTAGATGCCGTTTCAGACCTTACCCTTGGCGACTTTGACGTAATATATTTATCCATCAGTTCGGACCAATCTTTAATTCCAAACTCCTTGGACAAAACAATTATTTTACCTGTTTTTTAGTATCAATAATAATGTATGTAGTGTTTGTGACAACGTGGCCTAAAACGGTATCGGCAGAGTTATCTCCCTTGATTATGTTATCAGCTACCTAGTCTTTCGTTCGTAGTTTAGCGCGCAATTCATTTGTCGCCTGAATTATACCTCCTCCTGCTTAGGGAAGCGTAGTTTTTTTTAGGTTAATATAAGGAACTGTGTATACTTTAATGATTGTTAGCAATTTCTGAGCGGGGGGCGAGCATTTCACGCGGACGGGCCCGTGTCAGACCCTCCGTCCTGCTCCACTGACGAGGGGAAAAAGTCGGAAAATCCCGATGAACTTTCTCGGCCAACACCGAGAGCGAACCATGCCACTTGACTCAATGATATACCTAATGATCCAACGTGCACGCGTTAACCATTCCGCCACGCAAACCACCTGGATTGAAACAAGATTTCCATTTAATAATCTAATTCAAAACTGGATAATCTAGACCTAGACTCGATTGTCAAGTACCGTTGCTACGATAATAAATAGCCTACGCCACATCTTCAAAAACTGAACTTTTATATCAAGAAGAGCCATCTAAATTTATCTAAATCTTACATAATACAACGTCTACTGGAACCTGTTAGTTAATGTGACGTCTCACATAGGGGCCAGTATGGTGATAGACTACTCACGAAAAACAAAGCCAATACCATTATTTCAAAACGAAAACTACAGAAATGGGATTTAACTCCGTAGGCCTCATTCTGTCATTTTGAGACAAATGAATATAATCTGGACAATATAACCTTAGTATTATTATCGTAGACTAGACAAGACTCTGGTTTAATAATTGTGAAACATGATAAAGTTAACATGTTTTATCCTACGCTAGACAAAAGTTGATATGTTTTATCTGGGTATGTTATCTAATATATAATCCCTGCATAATCCTCCGATAATCCCTTCTTAATATGATATAACATGTCTGTTAATCCACTCTGTTACTGTAGTATCAGGGGAAAGACGAAAGAACATATCCGTTAATCAAATCGGTAACTCTTTTAAAAGAGAAAGTAAAATGAAATGAAATGAATGGGGTTTGCACGTTTTGCTTGTCTGCTCCAACCAGGCTAATGAAGACGGACATTGTTTGTCCATGTCTATGCTTTAGGACACGGTGGTGGTGGTGGTGGTGGGTGGTGGGTGGAGGGGGGGATCGTCTCGCAAGGAAAACATCTCTAGTCGTTCGGATAGGATGAAATGAAATGGGGTTTAACGTCTCACTGACAAGGGGAAACCACGCCGGAAAATCTGGATGAACTTTCTCGGCCAATGCAGGGATCGAACACCCGACCTCCAGGCTAGCGAGCCAGCGTCTTACCCACTTAGCCACGTGATCCCCCGTTCGGATAGGATGGAGATACGCCTTGCTTCGCTAAGTCAGTGGTGCAGCACAGAGGGCCTTACAAGGGAAGGCCTATTTTCGTTCTGGTGAGATGGAAAATAGATGACCCGTGTAATGATGGACATTGGACACTGTACGTAAAATAACCCTTGGCAGTTAGAATTCGATAAATAGTAGGCTGGAAACTGCGCTGCCCGGGCAAAATGTCCCAAACAGCAAACCGCATGGCCTATTCCTTCTTCATTAGCCCAGGTTGATACAGAAATGTAGGACGTTAAATCCCTTTACATTTATTAGATTTTTGTCAGATCCGACGAGTAAGCGACCATGTAGATATGAACCCAAGTAATGCATCTCACCGCACGACCCAAGGAATGTATTTCACTGCACGACCCAAGGCATATACCTATATTATTGATATTGTATGATCCGAGTAATTTATATAATTGAACGATCCGAGTAATTCATATTATTGAACGATCCGAGTAATTTATATTATTGAACGATCCGGGCAATGTTTATTATTGAACGATCCGTGCAATGTATATTATTGAACGACCCGAGTAATGTATATTATTATACGACCCGAGTAATGTATATTATTATAAAGAGAAATCAACTGTTTAAGTATATTGTCAGGTATTAGTTTAGCTGTAACGTGATCTGGTTATGTCAATATAGGACTGTCAATCATTTAGTCTATATTATATATTAATCATATCATATACACTATATCATACAGATAATAAGACACTCAGATAATATTAACTTATTATCACGTACTCTATAGAACCACGTAGAAAAGTGAATATACGTTATTGATTAAAGCGACAGTACAGCGAGTGTGTGGGGGTGGGGGTGTGTGTGTGTGTGTGGGGGGGGGGGTGAGTAGTACCGTTGTCCTTGCAAACCGTCCCTCATAGCACACTGTATGGCATATGCCCGTCTTCATTACCCCAGTCGGAGCAAAACAGTAGGACGTTAAACCCCATTCCATTTCATTTCTTGGGACACCGTAAATAAAAAATACAAGATAAAACTGATTACATATTTATATCGTGGTATATTCTTCGTCTAGTGTTTAACGCCCGCTTCCACTGATGATGATATCGCAGACACGTTGTCTTATTTTATTATTATTATGCTTAGTGCACGCTCGGGGGTCTTTCCTGTGGAGGAGGCTGAGTACCCGACGTAAACCCACGAGGTTGAGAAGGCCTCTATATCTCCAAGTGACACACGCTCAAACCAACGATCGCAACCACGATCGCAAGCCAGAGGTAACCTTCCAGCTAGAGCTAGACCATTAGGCCACCCTACCTCCCAAATCGTTGTTTATGTTTATAGAAAGGTTATCAATAAGTAATTTGTATATAAATATACTCAACATACATGTAACTCTATACAACCAATAAAATCACGTCAATCATTTTGATTGACACCCATCATATTTAATCGCAAACACAAACTTCACAACAAATTGTCTGCGATATCACTTCATTGGAGAAGCAGATGATAAATAATGTTATTTTAATCGTTTTAATGACATTTTATAATTGAACTTTAATGGGCCTTCAATCCGTAGTTGAGTTAAGGAGACGTTAATCCCTTAGTTGAGTTAAGTAGACGTTAAACCCCGAGTTGAGTTAAGTAGATGTTAAACCCCGAGTTGAGTTAAGTAGACTTTAAAGTCTTAGTTGAGATAAGTAGACTTTAAAGCCTTAGTTGAGTTAAGTAGATTTAGTTGAGTTAAGCAGACTTTAATGGCTTAGTTGAGTTAAGTAGACTTTAAAGTCTTAGTTGAGTTAAGTAGACTTTAAAGCCTTAGTTGAGTTAAGTAGACGTTAAACCCCCAGTTGAGTTGAGTGGACCTAAAAGCCTTATTTGAGTAGTGTGGGCGTGTAACCCCTAGTTAGCATGATTAGGTTGAGTTGACGTGGAATTTAAACCCCATATTTTAGTTTATAGAATGGAGTGGGGTGTAGAGTGGCCTAACGCGTGCGCTTTGAGTTTGTTATTGAGTGAAGTGGCATGACTTCGATCCCAAGCCTGTACGTGACGAAGAGTAGAGTAGGGCCGCCTGCCTAGCTTCGTGACTTTGCTCCGAATCCCCCGGATTCCTCCCAATCCTAAAGACCCCTATGTGCTAGTGAATTACGTATGGAAGAAGGTGATATAGGCTATGCCAGTTCACTGGCTCCTATTCATGATTTTTTTTTTTTTTTTAAATATTGCTTACACAAAAAATCCTTAGAATATGTTAGTCCCGAAGGACGCTAGATTGTGTTAGGCGGACGTTAAACTACATTTCTCTCTTGGTTTATGGTCATATCAATGTGATCAGTTCACGACCTTCGTTTATTGACTGACCAATTCAACCCAAGTTTATCAAAGTTTGCATTAGTCATGTCCACGTATCAAATATAATCACTTTGAACCCTAAATTAGGAAAAGGGGCCGTAGGTCATTTGTAATAATTATAGATGATATCAGTTTCTACCACATTCGTAACCATGGCTCTTACACTCCTGAAAGCCCGACACCAGTTCTCCTAGCTATGTTCTCTTTAATTAAGTTTTTAACTGAATTATGATATGTAAATGTACACCGTGTGACACTTTAATAAACACTTTTTCTTCTTCTATGTATCAGGGAAGAAATATTTTTTTTTTGTCGGCGATATCACTTCGGTGGAAAGCGGACGTTAAATAAAGTTATTTCACACACACACACACACCCACACACATTGAAGAGATGTTAGTTTCACTTTAAAGCCAACGATATCACTTTGGTGGAAGCGGACGTTATATAAAGTTATTTCACACACATACATTGAAGAGATGTTAGTGTCACTTTAATGTTCCTCGTGTTTAACATCAAAAACCGCAAAATTTACATTTTACCTTGACGCGTGACACGTAGAGTGAAAGGAGCAACATGTAACCCTGTCTGACACCAACAGTGTTATATAAAAAACTAATCGTTCGTAACTAATAAACAGCGGGGTGTCTTCAGTACCATACATGTACAACCGAAATTTGTTGGGTGGGCTATGTGAAGTACTGAAATAAAGGGGAAGTGTTTCCTGGTGTTCTAGCGGGTTGGGGTTATGGCTATGGGGTGTTCTAGAGAGTAAGGAGTTTGGGTTAGGGTCTAAGGAAAGTTGTTTCGAGTGTTTTAGAGAGTAGGGCTGGGTTATGACTGAGGAATTTGTTTCGGGTGCTACTTGTATATTAGGGTTTTGGTTTGGGAAGTAATTTCGGGTATTCTAGCGTATTAGGGGTAGTGTTATGGTTGTGTTATAGTTTTGGTAGATTCGTATTTCACTGATATATTAGGTGTCAAATTCGAATTTGAAAATACAATAATTGACATTTCAAATAATTTAACTCGAACATAATAATATAAAAGCGCAAAATTACTTGAATAAGAAATTAGCGCATGGCCTTTAGCGATTTATAAATTACGATTTATTGAAGGATATGCATTATATTCAAAAGAGTAAATAGTCTATATATTATAGTCATATATACAGTATGATAAATCACACCTCGTATCTGTTCAACCGTTTAAATAATCACTCATTATACTGCATAGCAATACATGGTTAGACAAAAAACACAAAATCTTAGCAATACACAGCACAACTTATCCTTACACAAAACCATATAATCTTAGCAATAAACGACACAACATAGTTTAACAGATACACAAAATCTTAGCAATACACTCAAAAATACAATGAGAAATATGTTATTTAAAAAAATTTAAAATCTGAAGTAATAAAGATGAAGTAGGTATAACCACGTGCACGAGATCGGGTAGTGTGTTTATAAATAATTAGAGTAATAGTTTCGATTTGGTAATCAGACGTCAAAATGATACGCTTACCTATTACTGGACCCTCTCCCCCCACCAACCACCCCCACCCCCACCACATCCACACTCATACATACTTGCCCATTCCATGATATCAGCTTCCCATTCACATGATTCGCCATTCTTTGACCTCAGCTCCCCAACTCACATGCTTCCCCACTCTTTGACCTCCAGCACCCCCCCCCTCCCATTCACCCATTCGTTGACATCCAGCTCCCCCACCCACATGTTTATCCATTCTTTGGCCTCCAGCTCCCCCACTCACATGTTTATACATTCTTTGACCTCCTGCTCCCCCACTCACATGCTTCCCCATTCGTTGAACTCCTGATCACCCGCTTATTTGATTACCCATTCCGTGATCCCCAGTCCCCCGTCGCCGATCAAACAACCTCCATTCACCCCTGTGTAGGGCAACATGATAACTTGAAAAACAGACTATCAAAGTATACTTTATAAAACACTAAACTTTTAAAAAAAAGATTAAAATGAAGTTGTACTGACCTGTCTAACACTAAATCAATCTATCCGTATCATCATACAATATCGATAATTACAAACATTAGAATACCGTAAATTACTAACACAGGTATTCTATAAATATGTCATATTGCTCCGAGAATCAAAAGAAACAATTATTTTACTGAGTACTTCTCATGAAAACGTGAGTGAAACCTTTACGACGGGAGTTGGCTATTTTTGAAATCTAAGTAAACTCAAAATATAAAAAAAAGGCAAATATCCTTTTGACACTTTAACATTTTCACACAAAAACACAAATTCGACACCCCGTTATTTTAAAGTTAAGAATCCACAGCAAATCGAGAAAAAGTTAAAAGTGGCCACAAGACATCGTTAGGTATAAGTGAAGTGTGTTTCACAGACAGTCGGTGTAGAGTTCACTACTTGACGAATTTAATGACTTGGTCCACAAGAAGTATCTTCAATACTAACAACGAATATTGCGGTCTAGATAAAACGTTGACACTTTTATTTATGCGTATGAAATAAGTTTTCTATTCGGTTCCACTATATATATATATAAAAACACTCACCAAGAACCGGTCACACAACTTGACCACGACTAAATCTTAATGCAAATCCCACTCGATGAATTTAATGACTTAGTCCTAAAGAAGTATCTTGAATACTAACACAGTCTAACCATGAGTATTGGTGTCTGGATGAAACGTCGACACAAAAACATTTACTAAGACCCGGTCATACAACTTGACCACCGGAGAAATCCTTAATGCAAATCCCTCTCTCCTTCAATTTTTTAAAATATTGGCTAGCAATTGGTCACCTGGTTGTATGGACAATGGCAATACGTGAAATGTATTCCTTGAGTCAACACTAATTGTCTTCGTCCTTTGTTACCGTATAATAACCGTATCTTGGCTATGAATTATACAAAAAGTGCCCTTCTATTAGGTATGAAAAGGCAAGTAATAAGGGCGATAGTGTTTATTCATTCAATCGATACCAATCATAGAGTTATAGATTTGTCAAGTATTCGGTCTATTATTAATATACACGTCTCTGGGAGGTTTAATTCACCCGAGAACGGTAACAGCGGCGTGTCTAGAGCAGGGATCCGAGGTGTTCTAGTTCCCTGCTGCTCACAAACTGCATATTTTGGTTTCTCCTGTATTCATTGAAATAACGTCGATTAAACAAACGTACGAAGCATTGACGCTGTTTTGGCCTCACTCCGGATCCACTCTAATCTTATACACGCATGAACCTAAATGAGCAGAAATATTGTCTCTGGGCTTCTAATTACATGTATATAAATTTCTTGGGTAATCCTCCTGGCCTTATGCTAAACTTGGTGTTGTTTCCACCCTTGACCCACCCCGGACCCTCTCCTGTTCAAATACCTGAACACGCCCCCTGTAACGGCCTACACCAATGACTGGTAGATAACATCTCTGGCTCTACTTCACAACACACAGCCATACTTTTTTAAAGTCAATTGATAAAAATCTATTTCAAATCAACTCAATAGAAGTCAATAGAATCAATTTGTAATGAATCAATTCATGAATGTAGGTCACCAGTTTATTTAAATATCTTGTTGATTCGTCATCGAGAAACCCAATGTCCCGTAGTCAACTGTATTTTTTAGTTTTATTAGTTGAAAAAAAAAAAAAAAAAAAATGTCTATCGGTATTTTCTTTAAAAATCAATGACACCAAATTTTATCAGTTTAAAAAAAAAAGAAAAAAACATGTCTATCGACCTTTTTAGTTTTATTCAGGTATAAAACAGGTTTAAATGTCTGTCAATATTTTATTTTAAAAAAATAATGATACCACCGTCTGAATAGCTCCTAATCTACATGGATGGGTGTGTAATAATTTGCCAAGCCATGTTAATAAACATTTCTTAAGACGTTTTCGTATAAGCGTATAATATAAAATTATGACTATTCAACGATACAATTAAACTCCATAAAAATATCCAGATGTTACTAATTTAAGTAATTTAACATAATTATGTACCTACAAATTATATACATTGTACGCGTACATACCACAACAAAAACCAAACAATTTCTCACCAATAACTTAATTAGTCACATAACATACAAAGACACAAAACCAAACATAGACAATAAATAGTTCTACACTTTAGGTAAATATCCCCTAATTATACATTGGCGTAAGTATTGTAAGACTTGGAAAAGAAGAAAATTACAAATATAAAAAATTAATAGTCAACATAGCCAATACCTAAACTTGTTATTTAAGCAGCTGGTTGTTCGCCTTACGATTTCGTTAAAGATGCATTATGTAAGATTTAGAAAAAGAGCTGACAGTTCTCGCTATAATAGTTTTTAAAAAGGGAATGTATAGAAAATTATTTAATTCTGAGCGGAATCTCGATTTTCATTGCTACCGTTGTTATGATAATAAACAAAGTCTCGAATATCCGTTTTTAAATTAAATTATTTTGACAGTCGTGTTTCAATCCTTTTAATATCACAACCATCCGATGAGCTTGCCATGTAAATACATGTGTAATTAATAATCTATATTATATTTGAGGTCAAAACAAAGATCTGTAATAGGCGGACTTGGCTCTTTTCAGAAATAATGTATTATTAATATGTTTTGTTATACAAGAGACCGCGCTTTTCCAATGAAAGATTGGGCAGAACATATGATTTAAACTTAATCAGTCACAGAACGGAGAGACAACTGATATAAGACACGATTCGATCCGTCATGAAACTGAACAAGCTTTTAAACAAAAAACAGTGAAGCCGTTAGGGGTTTACATAACATCTCGTGAACACAATATTTTGGTCATTTATATTGGTTTTGTCGTTGGTGCAAAGATAACAAGAGCGAGGAGTTTCAGTCACTGCGATAAAGGCATTGGAACTGACCTTTAAAGGAGCTAAATCCCTAATATTTGGGACCAAGAAATTGACACAAATGGGTAGCAACGCATATAATATCCCAATTTCAAATCAGTTAAAATGTTCGCCGAAATACGCCAGCCCAGAAGTCTCAATCGAATGGTAATCTCTAGCATCTGGTTATACAAGTCTACACCGATAGTATTAATTGTGCATGCTCTCCAGATAAGAATACAGCGTCGCCGTTTGACATGACTTGTGGAATTATGTCTAGCCTAGTTCTTCGAGTCCCCTGTTACAAATGACACTGAAACGCATTATGGATATCAGAAGCCCATCTTTTCCCGGTATGATCGCAACATCAATGTTGATTTAAATTGACAAATAATTCGTGTTTTCAATGTCGAAGACTTTGGATGATACTGAGTTAGAGACTTAGCACCTTAACGTGCATGGGTTTTGTCTTTTTTGAAGTCCATGTGCGACGTGATAGATGATTGGTAGTTTTATTGCCCGCAACACAGGCAGTTCTCCGCACTCGACTTTTGAAAGCGACTCTTTAATTGCATTGGTCTCGTCTATTTTTAAGTCCCTACGAAGTGAAGGGGGGGGGGGCTCGGGGAGTTGTATACCCCACAACAGAGGTATTTGGCCGCACTCGTCCTCTCATTATCAATTGGAAGTGACCTTTTATGTGCACTAACGACCACAGTCATTCCGGTTGCACATCTGAAGAAGAAAACTCTAAAGCAAACATTGAATTTATTCATTCAGTAACGCAGGACATTGACAGACACGGGCTAAGTAGGTAACCCTGCGTAACACCAACTTCAATGTTGAAAGTCGAGTAGCCCGGATGTTTACCGTGTAATTAATTACTTTGTGTCTTTATTGGTTTACGACAGTAAAGTGTGATGCCGTCTTGCCACATAATCCCCGCAAAAACAAACTCAATAAATATACACATCAAAATATGACATGTCTACGAGACATTCAAGCTATAAATAAACTTCATATTACAGTTTGATATTGGTTTTGGAGACATGTCCTTGATAATTAAATTTGAAATTCTGCAAGCATGAATAATTAGCGGTTCGATCATAGACAAAACAGGTGAACTGCACAACAAAACAAAACCCGGGACTGGTGCGGGATTGAAAAACAAGCACGTGCTTAGGGCATCATGGGAATGGGAGCACTACATGATGTCTGCTTTGTTAGATGCCAAATATAAAATATTTAATTCAAAAATTAATTAAGAACTTTCAATTATTTTTTCTTTCTTATTGTCTTTTCATACTGTTACGTCCGGCTTTCACGTGGGCTTCGAATGTCACGAATTGTCTCGAATCCAAACGTGTTCCGATTCGTAGACAAATCGTAGATCGTTCTTGAAGTTAGTCAATGATTCGTATTTGGTATTCGTAGCCCTGTTTGGTCGCAATTAATAATCCCCGAAAAATACTCTAATCATGTGCCTGACGATTGTTTGTGGTTTATCATTGTTGAATTACATATATGGGGGCACCAAAACATTGTATGTGCTTAGGGCCTCCGTGGGTCTTAATCCGAACCTTCGTGTGGCCACTAATACATAATCTTCATACTATCGTTTGGTTTTAATAATGTGCTTAAACAGATCATAGACAGAACAGCAAAACAAAAACACAACATACATGTAGGACCACCAATAGCCGTAAATAGTTTTGATTACCGGGGATTCGTTGGTTGTTTGCTTTCGATGCTTTATAATTAATACAATATTCTACTACAGGTCAAAATAATTATAATTAGTGGTCCATTGAAAAAAAGGGAGAACTGCACAGCAAAGCATAAACAGAACAGGGGACAACCATTAACCCTCCCTATATGCTGCGTTCCTAATTTAGTTCAAGTCGTGTTTGTTCTGGAGATCAAATTAGATGATTGATAATTATATTAAAATTTTACTACACGCAAGAATGTTTAAAGTTTAATAGACGAAACAGGAAACTGCACAGCAAAACACAAACAGAGAACTTATGCAAGAACAGACTTTAGTTTGAATTTTTGCGCTAAAAATGCAAGAATTAACATTATTATGAACATCACTATCAGCATAATGCTGCCTTCTTAATTTAAGTCGTACATACAGTGATTTTTCTATTTGATCAATATCATATTTTAGAATTAAAATATTTGATACTTAGGTATTGGGTATTTATTTTCAATCTCTTTCTAAACTTGATGGGTGTGTATTGTAAAGTATCCTTTACAATGATGATGATTTATTTATTTATTTATTTATTTATTTATTTGTTAATGTAAATATGTAATATAAACTTGTACATTATATATATTTTAGTAATTGTATTGAAATGTATAATTTACATGGAGAGAAATTTATATAAGTTTCGGCTTGTTTTCTAATCCATTATATATTACATCAGTGTTGTAAATAATCTTTATGTACTTGTTTAAACCAAGTATCCTTACGTATATCGGTATTTGTGAGATAGCTTTATCTAGCGTTCGCTTCCACTGAAGTAACATCGCCGACAAGGTTCATCGGATGCAGATTTATGTTCAGTTAGCCCACGAGTAGACCCACATAAATGTATATCAGTCATATTAAAGAAAAAAAATGCCTCGGGTTCTCATATGAAAATCTTGATGTTGTGTAACGAATATGAAGAAATCCTATAACATCTATTGTGTCGCCATCTTGTTAACAGTTTGATTTCAATCTATTTCATTAACTGATTGACTGGGTGATATCGCAGTTAGCTCATTAATTGAGAGAGAGAGAGAGAGAGAGAGAGAGAGAGAGAGAGATATTAGTACTATTTTATCTATATATTCAACACCATGATTACTATAATTAT